TTAAAAAAGAAACAGTTAGATAGCCAAAACAGAACAAAAGTGATAATTGATGTACTAAACGTGTAGTTTACCTAAAAATATTATATATATAAATATAAATAAATACCTGGCTGGGGATTCTTCGACCGTGGAAGACTGAAGTTTGAGGGATTGTTTCATTGTAATCAGGATGTGAGTGAACATAGATCGTGTAAAACCCTTCGTTTCCCTTGAAAAACTTTTCCCACAACGGAGACAAGGGAAGCGGGCCGGCCGGCAAGAACATGAAAGCTACCTTCCGACGAGGAGATTCTTGCATTCTCGGAACCCTATATGCTCTCAGTAACAACTCTCCGTCACTCATATTATGCATCACAAATTCATGTTGTTCCGACGAAACGGTAGTGCTAGAGTCGGACCATGTGACGCAACGACGACAAAGGCAGCGGATGTGACGGCGATAACAACGGTGGCGGTGATGGCGGAATTGGTGAAGTAGTGTACACCAAAGAGGAGGCTTGAGAAAGTAGTGGTGGGAAGCTTTTAAGCTGTAAAGTGATGAGAATGCCAATTGACAAACCAAGGACGAAAGAGAGAGCGTAGAACACAAGACTATTCATTGCGAATGGCTTGGAAAATGGATGAACGATGTATCTCTCGATGCACCTATTTACCATAATTGAAGGCGAAACATGCACTGTGATTCGAACTACATCAGCTTCGACCATAATTAGTTATAATATATTTTGTGGTCATTAGGAAATTTTAGATTGAAGTTGACTTGGAAAATGGTAGTAGGGAGGGGGATGAATAAAGCTTAAGAAAAGGCCTCGGTGCCTGTATTTCACTTCTTTAAGATGGATTGATTCCTTAATAACTAAATTTCATGCTGATGCTTCTTTGAATAGCAAAGCTAGCTAATTCAAGAAAATTATTTTAATTTAGTAGTCAACATGCAATATTAATGTATTGTATTCAAAACTTTGCGCCACATTTGATGGTCAATAATATGCATCATAAATCTTCATTTAACTGTTTGGTTAGAGTATATTAGAGGCCACTTAACTATGTCAAAAACAATTTTTTATCAATAAATTTTTAAATGTTATAAAATAATCATTAAATGTTCTAAATGTTCACAAAATGATCGTTAAACATTTAAACGATTATAAAATAATTTATGTATATTATTTCTTTATTTGTTGCGTACATTATGTCATTAAACTTGAAATTGCATCTAAAGTAATAAAGTGAGAATAAATATTGAGTCATTGATTATATGATAATTTAACTAATTATAAGTTGACTTAGCTATCAAAGCAAGATGACTTAGCTATCCAACATAAATAAATCTTAAACTCACTTATAGATTAAATTCACTTCTGTAGTTCAAAATAAATTTACCTTAATCCTAAGTAAATGTAAAATCGTGTACGTGTAACTTGCATGCTTTGATATATCAAGAACTAATGTGTCTCAAGGTACTAAGCTGATAGTTGATATGTTGGATATGTATCTCATACATGATATAACTACATCTATAAATATAGAATCATAGCTCGATTAAAGAATAAAAAGTAGCATATTTATGAAAATAGAACGTGATTATGGATCATTCATCAAGAACGAATGATTTAATTAGTACTTTCTGTAATAATAATTTTCGTCATATGATCTATAATAGAAAATTAAAATGATAAAACCGGATGGAGAAACAAAATTTGAAGAGATCAGGAATATTCTATAAAAATATTCTATTTATGATAATATTACTAAACAAAGCTATAAGTAAGACTTTCAGTAATATTATATTTGTGGGAGTTCCATCACGGTAATTTATTAAAATAACCCATTAACTTAATTATATATTATTTTAACATACGTTATATGAATCCAAATTATCCCTTCACTAACTTAATGTATTTCATGAATAAAAACATGTTAAGTAATAAATTATTAAAATAAATTATGAACAACTGAAAAGTTATAAAAGAGAAATAGATTGCGTTAAATTGATTATTTAAGTAATTTAGAAATAAATTTAGGTTATTATTTAATTGAGTTTAAAATAAAATATTAAATTAATAATTATTATTTAATTTAAATATTTTTAAATTAGTTAAATAACATGACTGTTAAGCAAAAAGCCTTTAAACAACTTTGAGGATTAGGCATATCTTTTCCATACTCTGAAGTTAAGATTTAAATCTCGCGGATTTGATATTTATAATTGTAACTCGCGGATAATTCTTTTATTAAAAAAATTGACACATAAAAAAATCAACCTAATCAATGGTTAAAAACCTACATGGGTGGACAGGTGGATGAACATGAGAGAAAGCCAACCTTTTCTAGCATTAATATACATATATTTATATGCAATTGCTTTGGCTTCAATTTATTGAAGCAGCTCCCATGGGAAAAATTAATATAAAACTAAAAGATGATGAACTTCTCTAAGTTAGAAGATCCTAATTTCGTCTATTAATTTCAGGAAGTGATTAAAAAGAAAAAAAATTTGGAGTGACAGAAAAGACATTTCAACATGGATTATATGCATGCATGAAAATTTCTCAAATTGGTTCAAATGGGAAAAGGGAGTAATTATCAAGAGATGAATTTCTATAATTTTAAAATTAAACGAATTTATAAAATATATTTTTAATAAAAAATATAGTAATTTTAAATTTTCGATAAGAATAATATTTCTATCCATCCTCCTATATCCATTCCTACATACAGTTTGATAAGCCATGCTTATCTTTCTAGGTGTTGTACCTAATCCCATAAACGAGTGGTCATGTGATTAATAGACATTCGTAGTCTATGATATAGTTTTTCTAAGACCATAGAGGGGATTTATTCTTTCCTCGTCCCCTATCTAGAGACACTCTTTGAGAGAACTAATTTCCTCCATTAACATGAACCCTAAACAATTAGTGTCTCTCTTTCCACACCACAAGATAAGAATCACAAATCGTCAATTTAATCATTTTATTTTCTACTGTGAATCACCGTCTCACTTATTGTATATCAATAAGTCTCTAAATCTCAAAATATTTTAATTAGAATATCAATATTTTATAAAACAATCCTTTTGTAAGTCTAATTATCAGTTCGAACGTTAAATGTCAGTTATAAATATTAGATCACATTGTAAATATGTGTGTACTTATCATATTGATCATCTGGATATGTCGTGTCAAAAAATAAAATCAAAATAATATCTAAACTAAACTAATTGATATGATAACTATATTTTAGACTGTTAATGACAATGTTTTGAAGTTTTAAACCAATGTAAAAACTAAATATAAGAACATCCAAATCAATTAACCCCAAGAATATATAGAACGTAAGGTGATTAGTAATTCTAGGTTAATTCTCTAAATTTTCACTTCAAACATCTTTAAATGTGTGGATACAAAATATTTGAAGATAATCGTGGGAATATTCTCATGTAAAAGCCATGAAAATAGTCCTATGACTCACTTAAGGACTATTCGAAAGGTATTCATTAGGATCACATGTATTAGATATGGTTCAAACATGTCATTAATGATACATATTATTATCTAATTAATCGAAAAATAAACATTATACTGATGATGAGACAGAAGAGGTTGTGAAAATTAAATAAGTGTTAAAAATATGACATCAACATTGTCGTTAATTTTTTTACGATGTGTGATCAAAACAGAAACAAAATGTAACGATATGTATGATTTTAAAGAAAAAATAGTTGAATGACTAAAACAGAAATAAAGTAATAGATGAATGATTAAATAAGTAATTTATAAAAAAAATAATGTAATATCCAATTTTGCCATATTAAGAAAAAAACTTCATACCAACAATAAGCTGATCTAATGAGATGAGATACTAGAACCCTTAAGCAAGTTCAGAAATTCGAACCCTAGTATTTATGAATAGAACAAATTAGATAAGAGACACTGTCAAACTTGTTTGTTCAACTTACTAAGTAGCCAAATCCTAAATACATATTAGACAAGTCAATGAGTTAATACACATCTCTAGCTCACAATTTGTTTCACACACTAGACAAACCAGATCCACAGTACCTCATATGAATGCTAGATGGTGTGAAAAATGATGATGTGAAGGTGTTTTCAGGTGATTTCGGAGGAGGTATCGACAGCGATTCGATGTTTCTTTGCAACATCTCAATGGCCTGAGTCATTGACGGTCGGTCCGACGGATTACTTTAAATGCACCACAAACTCACTATGATCATTTTCTGATTAGTTCTTCATTTTCAGCTGTCGTTCTTTCAAGATTCAAGTCTGCTCCTTTAAGACGTTCATAAATCCATGTTGGAAAATTCGGATTATTGGTCTGACTATGAATGTTTTCTTTCTCTCCAACCATTTCAAGGACCATCATCCGGTAGCTATAAACATCAGACTTGTGCGACACTCCACCGAAGCTTCGGCAGAACACCTCTGGAGCAATGTATCCGATGGTTCCTCGAGCACTTATTGTCGAAATGATGCTGTCCTTCCGTTCACATAGCTTATCAAGCCCACAACCGGAAATTTTGGGACAAAAATTGTCGACTAGAAGGATGTCTTGAGGTTTTATGTCGAACTGAAGGATCCTCGTGTTGCAGCCTTGATGCAGGTATTCCAATCCTCTGCAGTTTCGATCGCGATGTCGTATAATATTGTCACTTTGAGCTGATCGGGTTTATAGTGAGAATCTCGATGGCAGATGAAATTGTCCAACGATCCATTGTGCATGAATTCGTAGATTAGAGCTCTAATCGAGAGATCATAGCAGAAACCAACGAATGCCACTATATTAACATGGGAGGTTCTGCTAATGCTGGCCGCTTCATTTATGAATTCGTCTCCAACCGTCGGGTAACGTACCTTTACATACGGTTCTGAATCCACCTTGACCGAGTTCGTCTTTGAATGACTTGGTTATTTTCTTGATGTCTACATAAGAATATCGCTTTGGAGCAAGTTCGGAGCCGTACTTAGTATGTAAGCCTCAATCCTTTCCCATTACTTCCTTTCCCTCGTTGTAACTTCAATAGCACTCCTCTTGACAATGATTCTTTCTTAATTCGGAAAGTTACCGCCATCACGCGACTACCAAAACAACAACTCCAGCCACTCCCATGCCTATTTCACGGAGACATGAGTCAACCAAGTTTGGAGTATAAGCTAGCTGCAATTCATAGTTCCAATTGAATTGAAATGTTGACCGATAGTACCTACCTACGGCTAACTTAAATGTTGAACTGAAGCCATCTGATGACCCTGCAACCGGCGAAGAATCGAGTTACAAATCATAGCAAAACGAATATTATGAAGAAGAGTGTTTATCTATTATGATACCTGAGATGGGATTGTTTTCTTCCCATTGCACGGCAAAGCCATTATCAAGTGTGACATTCAGAGTATCTTGACTTGGACTGTGCTCCAAAACCTGTAATATCAAGCGAATGCTGGGACGAGAACTTTACTGTAACATGATCTCAAGGCATCATTTGCTGCAACCGAGAGGTTAGAAAAGAAAGATGTGACCACGAAGTAGCCTAAAGTATCAGTTCCATTCATGCTGCAATTGAACTGATGATTAGCAAGCCCTTCATACTGATTCGCAACGGCGGGGCAGTCGTAAAAGAGCGATATGTTCCGTGTATTCCAAGCAGCGCGGAAAGGGGGGAGATTCAAAGAGGTGTTGAGTATTGACAAGGCGCCGGAGACAAAGCACACTATCGGAATTATCCATAGGAGCAAGAGTGAGAGACTTAAGGGTGGTGTTGTATACCAGAATTTGGTAACTGCGTGAACTAATGTTAATCATGGGATTACGACCCTTACTGCAATAAATCTCAATCCCGGTTCGCCGTGTTGGGGGAAATAAACAGAGTACAGTAATTTTCTATAACCAGATTGGTGAGAATGTGAAATAAAAGCGAAAAAATACCTGAAATTAATAACAGAATTCAGCCAATTTTACTTACGTCTCCGGACTGCTGCAGATCTTTTACTATGAGAAAATTTACAGGTGTTTACAAAACATTCACTACTCACAAGAAAGCTCTCTAGTATTGGGAGAAATAAAATGATTTTGGGATTTGGGATGATTTTGAAGCTAAATGAGCTAGGGTATTTATAGTTGAAACTTAGGGACTAATCTTTGAAAATACCCTAAAGTGCAATGACTAAAGTGAATTTACCCATTCCTATTTTCAACAAACATCTACCAAACTCAGTTTTGGTGTGCCTGGTTCTTCTTGAACTGCTTCAGGATTGATCTGAACATCATTTCTAGAAATCTCCTCGAACTTAGCAAATTTCTTTGTTTCAGCTTCGATGTTTGAGCTACTTGATTCTATGGTTAATCTATCTTTGCACAACACATTCTCATTGAAAATAACATCTCTGCTTCTGATGATCTTCCGATTTTCATAGTCCCAAAACCGGTAACCGAACTCATCACCACCATAACCAACAAAGGCACATTTGTTGGACTTAGCATCAAATTTACTTCTTTCAGCAGAGTCTATGTGTACATAAGAAATACAAGTGTGAAAGGTTTATTTCTTTCTTGCTCCAAACTTCATCTGGTATTCCGCCATCTAAGGGAACTGAGGGCCCATGATTGATCATGTAAGCTGCAGTGTTGATAGATTTAGCCCATAGCAATTTGGGCAAGCCAACATGTATCCTTATGCTTCTGGCACGTTCATTCAGAGTTTTATTCGTGCGCTCTGCTACGCCATTCTACTGCGGTGTCATGGGAAATGTTCTCTCCATCTTGATCCTATTGTTTGCACAAAATTCTCTGAATCTACTATTTTTGTACTCTCCTCCATTATCAGACCTCAACCGCTTGACTTTCAAACCAGTCTCGTTTTCCACCATGACCTTCATTTTCTGAAGGTATCAAAGACTTATGATTTCTTCTTCAGAAAATAAACCACACCTTCCTTGTTGAATCATCGATGAAGGTGACATAATATAGTGAGCCTGCAAGGGATGGAACTGAGATAGTCCCCATACATCAGTATGAACCAACTCTAACTTTTCTGCCTTGGGTGTCTTGCCAATCTTTGAAAGCTAACTTTCTTTTGTTTGCCAAAGATGCAATCCTCACATAGTCCGACATCTACATTCTTTAGATCCGGCAGCTTCCATTTTGACAAAAGTGTCTTCATCCCTTTTTCGCTCATATGACCAAGCCTTTGGTGTCATAGTTTGATTTTCCATCAACATCTGTTGTAATGATATTCTCTAAATTTGAGGTTACATAGAGAATATCATCTTCTTACCACGAGCAAGACGAGTGCTCCTTTGGTGATATTTCATTTACAGCCTGAAAAAGTTGTGTTATCCTTCTCCATCAAGTTGTCCTACAGAAATCAAATTTCTTTTGAGGCTAGGAATATGTCTTACTCCTTTCAGCATCCAGGTGGTCTGGTTTTGAAACTTTAATCAGATGTCTCATTTTCCGACATTCTTCAAGGTTTCATCATCACTAGATGAACCTTCCCAAAATCACCACTGCATAGTTCTCCATGATTTCTCGGCATGGGTGGAGTGGAAAGATGCTCCTGAATCCAAGATTCATGATTCAATCGGACTGTTGACGCTTAGAATCATGGCATCACTTGTATCCTCTGTCACGTTGGCAGATTCCTGTGCGCCGATATTTTCTTCGGTGCTCGACAATCTTTTTTAAAGTGACACTTCTTACCGCAGTTATAACAGGTAAAATCTTTCTTTCATGTTCTTGATTTTCCCCTTCTGGATTTGGATCTGCCATGATTTGAATTTCTTTCTGAAGTTCTCTCTCTGGACTCCGTGTGCAAGGCTGAGGAGGTTGATGCTTCACCTGATTCTCTCCGTCGAATTTCTTCACTCAATACAGATCTCGTACATCGTCGAATTTTAATTTGTTGTTTCCCACGAGCTGCTGACTGCTGTAACAGTAGCATTCCAACTGTCTGGTAGAGATGATAAGAGAATTAAAGCTCGAACTTCATCATCGAATTTAATTTCTACTGAACTCAACTGGGTTGTGATTGTGTTGAGTTCATTTAGGTATTGAGCCACTGATGCCCATTCCGCCATCTGCAAATTGAACAATCGCATCATCAAATGAACTTTGTTTGAGGTCGATGGCTTCTCATACATACTGAAGAGAGCCGCCATAAGACCCGTCGTGGTCTTTTCCTTTACTATGTTGAAAGCAACATTGCGAGATAACGTCAGTCGGATAACTCCGAGGGCTTGTCTGTCGAGAAGAGTCCAATCTTCATTCTTCATGCCCTCTGGTTGCTTTCTTGAGAGAGGTTGATATAGATTTTTCTGGTACAGAAAATCTTCAATCTGCATCTTCCAAAAGCCAAAGTCCGCACCATCGAACTTTTCAATTTTCATATTCCCTTCGTCTGCAGTCATCGCTCCCACTCGAATCTGGCTTCTTTGGATCGTTCTGACAATTTTCGTGAATCGCCGTGTATTAGAACACCTCCGTCGACAAATTCGTATCGCCGACAAATTTCACTATTCACATGACAAAATTTCACTATTCGCAAAATTTACTATTCATGAATAGTAATGAATAGTAACCTCTAAAATTGATAAAATTCACAACTAAAAGTCTGATACCATTTGTTGGGGAAATAAACAGAGTACGAGTAATTTCCCTATAACCAATTAGTGAGAATGTGAAATAAAAGCGGAAAAATACCCGAAATTGATAACGGAGTTCAGCCAATTTTGCTTACTCACTGTTGACGCTTAGAATCATGGCATCACTTGTATCCTCTGTCACGTTGGCAGATTCCTGTGCGTCGATATTGTCTTCGGTGCTCGACAATCTTTTTTAAAGTGACACTTCTTACCGCAGTTATAACAGGTAAAATCTTTCTTTCATGTTCTTGATTTTCCCCTTCTGGATTTGGATCTACCATGATTGAATTTCTTTCTGAAGTTCTCTCTCTGGACTCCGTGTGCAAGGCTGAGGAGGTGATGCTTCACCTGATTCTCTCCGTCGAATTTCTTCACTCAATACCAGATCTCGTACATCGTCGAATTTTAATTTGTTGTTTCCCGACGAGCTGCTGACTGCTGTAACAGTAGCATTCCAACTGTCTGGTAGAGATGATAAGAGAATTAAAGCTCGAACTTCATCATCGAATTCATTTCTACTGAACTCAACTGGGTTGTGATTGTGTTGAGTTCATTAGGTATTGAGCCACTGATGCCCCTTCCGTCATCCGCAAATTGAACAATCGCATCATCAAATGAACTTTGTTGAGGTCGATGACTTCTCATACATACTGAAGAGAGCCACCATAAGACTTTTCGTGTCTTTTCCTTTGCTATGTTGAAAGCAACATTGCGGATAACGTCAGTCGGATACTCCGAGGGCTTTCTGTCGAGAAGAGTTCAATCTTCATTCTTCAGCCCTCTGGTTGCTTTCTTGAGAGAGGTTGATATAGATTTTTCTGGTACAGAAATCTTCAATCTGCATCTTCCAAAAGCCAAAGTCCGCACTATCGAACTTTTCAATTTTCATATTCCCTTCGTCTGCAGCATCGCTCCCACTCGAATCTGGCTTCTTTGGATCGTTCTGATAATTTTCGTGAACCGCCGTGTATTAGAACACCTCCGTCGACAAATTCGTATCGCCGACAAAATTTCACTATTCACAAAATTCACTATTCACGTAAATAGTAATAATAGTAACCTCGTAAAAATTGACAAAATTCACAACTAAAAGCTCTGATACCATTGTTGGGGGAAATAAACAGAGTACGAGTAAATTCCCTATAACTAAATTAGTGAGAATGCGAATAAAAGCGGAAAAATAATCCCGAAATTGATAACGGAGTTCAGCCAATTTTGCTTACGACTCCGGACTGTTGCAGATCTTGTACTAAGAGAGAAATTACAGGTGTTTACAAAACACTCACTACTCCAAGAAGCTCTCTAGTATTGGGAGAAAGAAAATGATTTTGGGATTGGGATGATTTTGAAGCTAAATGAGCTAGGTATTTATAGTTGAAAGTTAGGGGACTAATCTTTGAAAATATCCTAAAGTGTAATGACTAAAGTGAATTTACTAATTCCTATTTTCAACAAACAACTACCAAACTTTACCAAACTTTGAAAAACATTTTTCAAAGTTGGTTGTCAAACTTTGAAACTAACTTTTAACTCGCCGTAATATGTCAGGCTACCCCTTGCCGAACGGATACCTCAAATCTCGGACGAGTCCACAGTTGAAATGTTTGTTACATTCCGGAGAATTCCTAGACTCAATGCTGCACATACACACCAGAATCTGGCAGACATAAAGATTACAAGCAGTTCAACAATGGGGAAGTTCCTGCAACATTGACCAATTCTTCTAAACCAAACTAACATGAAAAGAGTCCCAAGAAAACCAGAAAGTAGATCAAGTAATTCTACAAACACATAAATATAAAAGCCATCTCTTTCTGAAGAATCAAATCCAAGGGAGTAAAACACCAAGACCCATCAATACTCAACAGTCACACAGACACAGAATCCCAAGTAGTCAAGATTGAAGAAGCAAAGAAACTACCAAAGAATCAACATCCTTGACTTATTCCTAACGTGAAAGAAAACACAAGAAAACTCATACCAGTTATTTTTTCAGGGATTCTATCAATCTCAACCTATGTGTCATTGATGCTGGTCTCAAAGAAATTCAACTTAGGGTCTGAAACTGTGAAGGGAACAAGAAAATATCCCAGTTTCCTTGTGTGTGTCTAGTTGCAGAAGCTCCAATAATAATAAGCAGTTGAGAATAAGGAAGACTAAAGAGATTATGATACTATGATATGGCCATAAATAA